ACAGCTGCAGTTCCTCCAGTGTCCACTAGAGTCTGTCTCCTGCAGTGATCAGTCCCCATAGAGCTCTATGTTAAAATGTCTAACTTTACAGCTGCAGTTCCTCCAGTGTCCACTAGAGTCTGTCTCCTGCAGTGAGTCAGTCCCCATAGAGCTCTATGTTAAAATGTCCAACTTTACAGCTGCAGTTCCTCCAGTGTCCACTAGAGTCTGTCTCCTGCAGTGAGTCAGTCCCCATAGAGCTCTATGTGATTTTATGAAGCCATAGAGTCATTCATACATAATGGGGGGCGTGGCCTAGTGTATGGACTTCATACACTGCATGACATGAGTAAGAGTACAGGGTGGTGGTGGGGTTAAAAACATAGGAAAGGAACGTTGTTGAAGTCAAGGTGAAGCCATGAAAATATCGTCTGGCTTCTCCAAACATGGCAGCTGCTGATTCGTACTGCGTGAAGTAAACTAATTATCATTATTAGACAAACACCAAAACATGAACTACCCCTTTAATTAGACTTCATCGTCTGCACTTGATTTTCCTTCTTCGAGCATGTTGAGCTGTTGTTCTTTGAATAAAGATTTAAACTCATAAAACATGCTGAGAAGTATAATCATTTAAAAACGGCGGTATGATCCTTTAAGGTCATTTTTTTAGTTGAGCTCAGAGACAAAGTGACCTGAAGCGTCAGACATTAAAAATATGTTTTTTACAAACAGCTGGTGGGCGGATTGTTTCTCTTCTCTCAGATTGTCCTGAAGCTCTGATTTACCTACGACACAAACAAACCATCGAAAGCATCACAAAAGGCACTGCTGCTGCTCTTATCGCTTCCTGTTCCTGTCACATTAAAGGAACAGTCCGCCATTTTCACTCGTGGTCCACCTCACACACTCAGCACGAGGCGTTCACTGTCCGCTGGTGAGTGTGGAAGATCAGGATTCAACAGTTCAGTCTCTGCACAGACGTTGGCTCACAGAAAGTAAAAATCATCAGCAGGATGTTTGTGTGACCTTAAGGAGCTGCTGCCACACAATGTCTTATTATTGATGAATCAGCTGATCCTCTTTAAAGAAATGATCGTGTTATCATCAAAACAGTACGACGGAGGATTAGGGCCCTGTTAAAAAATGTTTTTTTTTTTAAATTTACGACTTTATTCTTGTAAATTTACAACTTTAATCTGGTAAATTTACAACTTTATTCTGGTAAATTTACGACTTTAATCACGTAAATTTATAACTTTATTCTGGTAAATTTACAACTTTAATCTGGTAAATTTATAACTTTATTCTCGTAAATTTACGACTTTAATCACGTAAATTTATAACTTTATTCTGGTAAATTTACAACTTTAATCTGGTAAATTTATAACTTTATTCTCGTAAATTTACAACTTTATTCTGGTAAATTTACGACTTTAATCTCGTAAATTTACAACTTTATTCTGGTAAATCTACAACTTTAATCTGGTAAATTTACAACTTTATTCTGGTAAATTTACGACTTTAATCACGTAAATTTACAACTTTATTCTGGTAAATTTACAACTTTAATCTCGTAAATTTATAACTTTATTCTCGTAAATTTATAACTTTATTCTGGTAAATTTACGACTTTAATCTCGTAAATTTATAACTTTATTCTCGTAAATTTATAACTTTATTCTGGTAAATTTACGACTTTAATCTCGTAAATTTATAACTTTATTCTCGTAAATTTATAACTTTATTCTGGTAAATTTACGACTTTAATCTCGTAAATTTATAACTTTATTCTCGTAAATTTATAACTTTATTCTCGTAAATTTACAACTTTATTCTGGTAAATTTACGACTTTAATCTCGTAAATTTATAACTTTATTCTCGTAAATTTATAACTTTATTCTCGTAAATTTATAACTTTATTCTGGTAAATTTACGACTTTAATCTCGTAAATTTATAACTTTATTCTCGTAAATTTATAACTTTATTCTCGTAAATTTATAACTTTATTCTCGTAAATTTACAACTTTATTCTGGTAAATTTACAACTTCAATCTCGAAATAAAAAAATAACGTGGCCCTAATCCTCCGTCGTAAAGCAGCAACCTCAACTCAAAGAGTAATATTCAAAAGTTCCCGTTTTTCTGACCGACAGTGAAGTACTCATCAACATTCAGCTCATCAGTGAAGAGTAAATAATCTGCAAATATCGAATAAGTTCATCAGAGACGCTGGAAACATAAAAATAAAAATGATAATAATTGTTAAATTATTCTCTGATTGATCTCCTGCTGATTTATATTCATCCTTTAAATCGCCATGATGCAGCTCGACTCACGTTCAGGAGCTGAAAACACAAAACACAACGTGACAGCACCACAGTCTGATCACATGACTGAACCATTCACACACACACACACACACACACACACACACACACACACACACACACACACACACACACACACACAAACACCTGCACGGGTACAGGACCATCAGACAGCAGCAGAGACACAAACAGAACAACACAAATCTCAAAGTCTTTTTGAACAAAGTGTGATGACATCACTGCTCTGATGACATCACTGCTCTGATGACATCACTCCACAGGCACACCCTCCACGCTCTCCTGGGAGACCTCAGAGTCCAGGGAGTAGCAGGAGCTGCCGTTGTCCTGAGCGTCCCTGTTGGGTTCCTCAGAGAGCATCGTGGTGCCAGCTGATGCCCCGCCTCCAGCCCCGCCCACTCCTCCTCCTCCAGGCTCTGCAGCGCCCTCGCAGAAGTGGGCGGAGGCCTGGAAGAGCTGGCTGCAGAGGCGGTTGTAGCGGTGGTAGCGTGACGGTTTCCCGGTGTGGGTGTACATGTGCTCCTGCAGCTGGCTCTTATGGGCGAAGCGGAGGCTGCACACGGCGCAGGCAATCTTTCGTTTACGCGAGTGCTGGACAGAGGGGGCGGGGCTGTTCCCTCCGCCGCCGCCTCTGCTCCTCCTCAGTTCTGCAGCGAGCTGGTTGGCGAGTGCCTGGCTCTGTCTCAGAGCCTCCTCTAGACATCCTGCGTCCAGCTGCTCCTGGGCCCCCGGAGGCCCCTCCTCCACGCTGGTGTCCAGCTCGCCGCCCTGCCCCTCCGTCAGGCGGCTCGGGTCGAGGGCGTGGCTAAACAGGTGCTCCCGCAGACCCTCAGGGGAGGAGCAACGCTCTCCACAGCGGGGACAGAGCAGGACCAGGGGCCGGTCTTTGAACAACAGGCCCTGACTGGGACTGTCCCCCTGCCCCTCCCCCTCCTCGCCATCCTCCACCTCCCCCTCCTCCTCCTCTAAGCGCTCCTGCTTGATGCGAGTCGAGATGTCTGAGTCGTCTCCGGACGCCACAGAACAAACATTACGTAGAGCGGAGGCCTGGTGGTCTGAGGAGACGTCCTCCAGTCCAACAGCCAGGGACCGCCCCCCCCTGCCAGAGGAGCGTCCGTCCTCCAGGGCGCCGCCGGACACCGAGGTGGACTTTTGGACTCCAGCAGCGTCTTTGTTGGCCAGCTGGGAGGAGATCTGGATGCCGTACAGGTTGGACATGCGGACCATGTCTGCAGCACTATCCGTGGCGCCATCGCCCGGTTTCCGGCACAGCTGGTAGGCGTGGAGGAACTTGATCCCTTCCTGCAGGCGGCTCTGGTCCACGGGCTGTTTGGGACACATGCCGGTGTACATGATGTGCAGCAGGTAGCTGAAGACGTCCGGCTGGATGTCTGTGGGCTGGATCTTTATACACTCACTGAGGACACACACACACACACACACACACACACACACACACACACACACACACACACACACAAACACACACACAAACACACACACACACTTTTTAAAAAACAAACCTCCACATCAAAAAGTAAAAATGACAGCAGCTCTGTTACCATAGAGATCTGCACATCCTTGCCCCGCCCCCTGCAGGCTCAGGTGTGCGTGTGCGCTCACCTGGACTGGTGGATGAAGATCATTTTGAAATAGTTGGAGAAGGCGGCGAGCACAGCGCGATGAGCTTTGAAGTAGACGTTTCCGATGGCGACGGTGCAGTCACACAGGAAGCCGAACTCCCTCTGGATGTTGAGCTGCTGCAGCAGGAAGAGGCTGTGAGACGACACCTCCATGGCCCCGCCTACTTCACCTGACAGGTAAGACACAGAGCAACAGGTTAAACAGAATAACCACACAGCAGTGGTAGCTAATCAGCTGTGTGACTTTCTCCATGAGTTTCAGTCAGGATTTAGAGTCCACCATGGCACTGAGACTGCACTAGTTAGAGTTACAAACGATCTACTTCTAGCTTCAGACAGGGGAGTTTGCCATGGAGTCCCACAAGGTTCAGTGCTTGGACCAATTCTCTTTACATTATATATGCTTCCTCTGGGAAATATTATGAGGAAACACTCCATACAGTTTCATTGTTATGCAGATGATACTCAGCTTTATGTATCAATGAAGCCCGATGGCACCAGTCAGTTATGTCAGCTAGAAACGTGCCTTAAGGACGTTAGGACCTGGATGACCAGACATTTTTTGCTACTTAACTCAGACAAGACTGAAGTTATTGTGCTAGGCCCTAAAGACCTCAGAGAGACTTTTTCTAGTGATGTGACCTTAGTGACATCAGCCTGGCATGTAGCACCACTGTTAGGAATCTAGGAGTTCTATTTGATCAAGATATGTCCTTTAGCTCTCACATCAGGCAAATTTCAAGAACAGCCTATTTTCATCTTCGTAATATATCCAAGATCCGGAATATCCTGTCGCAAAATGATGCAGAAAAACTAGTTTATGCATTTGTTACCTCCAGATTGGATTATTGTAATTCTCTTTTGTCAGGGTGCTCTGGTGGGTCTCTAAAGACTCTTCAACTGGTCCAGAACGCTTCAGCTCGTGTACTGACCAGAACTAGGAAAAGGGACCACATTACTCCTGTGTTGGCTTCTCTGCACTGGCTCCCTATATAGTCTAGAATAGAATTCAAGATCCTTCTTCTCACC